CATCCCTCTTAACAATAACCAGAATACCCCAAGCATATTTCATGTAAGAAAAAAGCACCTTAGCCTTGGTCTGCAAATGTCAATATTTGTAATGCCTGCCCCAAACCACCTATGGGATGAATCTAAAATCTTAAACATGCCCAACCAGCACTTTCACAGTCTGACCCCAGACTTGCGTGGCATCATCTCTGGCTTCTGTCCTCTAGGTAGCATTCACAGTGTTCTTTCATCCCACTCTACCTTTCGTTTCTCAGGATCTTTGCACACCTCTTCTCACTGTATATAGTGCTTTTCTCCCATTCACCTCCAGGGAAGTGTGTACTCATCCTGTTAGAGCCTCTTTAACTGGAACCCATCAGCAACACTGCTGATTCTCTAAACTTAGAGATGAGCACTGCCTAATCAGTGAGCTCAAAGAAACTTATACACAGATGTTTTTAAATAACACTTACGTACCACACTATCCTTAAATTACTTGTTTACATATTCCCTTCCCCAAAGTGGAGTGGCTCTTAAGACAGAGAGGGTAACAGACGGGAAATGGGAGGTGGATATGAAAACCAGAGACAGCCTGGAAACAGTGTACCCAGAGGCATATTCAATTTTAGCTTTGCTAAATGACAAAAAGTACTTAATGTTTTCTTATTGTAATGTTGGTTCAGCTCATCAAATCTTGGGTGAACATGGTAACTGAGAGTTTTTCAAATAGGGAATTGAGGATAGATCTTTGTGTATTTTAAGAGGTCTTCATAAATAAAGGCCAAAGACCAAGTGCTAGGTATTGCCTGTTCCAGGTATATATTAGGTATTCTCATAATTTTTAATTGAATGAAAATGTTTAAAGTTAAACTAAAAACAATTTTGGATTATACCTTGGTCAACAAGTTACTTGTTCTCAAAGTATATAATAGATTCTGAACTGCTTTATTTGAATTGAAGGGTATTTATTCAAGTTTCCTCAAGAGCTTAAATCAGATACCTATATATAATGGAGAAAAATTGTGTTTTTCTCCATTATATATAGGTATCTTATTTATCCTAATATATACCTGGAACAAGCAATACATAGCACTTGGTCTTTGGCCTTTCTTTATAAAGACACAACAACCTGTAAATGTCCTTTATAAAGACTAAGGAAATTTAATTTTTGTGTGACATATCTCTATTAATGCCCACCCACAACTTTGTGACTTTCAACTCGTATGCTGCTTCTATTGACTCAAAACCAAAAGTTGGCTAGAAATACTTTAGTTTGTTACAGCTCTGGCCTTGGTGAGGTATGTGCTATTTGGGTGATTTGGAAACCATGAAAAAAATTTAGTTCTAGGTCACTTTATCTTATAACACAGAACAATTTTTCAGGTAAATGTGTATGACATATCAGACCCAAAAGGTACAACCTGAAAATGCCAAAATACTCACTTTCCTGAACTTATAATGAAGAATAACTAACTTACCCATAACTATTGTTCTCCTAGTTGATGTTTTTCATTTAGCATTAACTACCATCCAGCAACTCATTAAATATTATGGTGACTCTCAAGGAGAAGTAAAATCCTTTAATGGCAGGAACTAGTCAACCATGGCAGGAAATAATGCATTTGACTTTATAGTGGTATTTGTGTTACTATGACTTGCTTATTCTCTAGTACAGCTACATTTCTTTCAAAATTAGCTGGTACAACAGTATAGCCCTGAAGAAAAAAATTTAAATAAACAGGTTTATTTCCTAGGAATTCATTCCTTCAAAAAACAAATACCTATAATGTGCCAGACATGCTTTGAGATGTATGGGGGGGGGTGATAAAAATTCTTGGTCTTCATGGGGCTTACATTCTACTGAGGAGGGAAAGAAAATAAAAATAAACATAATAGGCATTATTATATAAGGATGTCTAAGAACCTTTTGTTGTGAAATTAAGTTTAAATTTTGTAATATGTTCTTTATGGACACAAGGCACATCAGTCAACATTCCCATACCCCTGGGATATACAAAGGTGACCCCCTTACAGCTAGTATGAAATGAGCAATGCTTATGCCAATAACTAACTGCATTTCAGGTTTCCTCTTTAATGTTTGATGAGACCCAATCTTAGTGCCTTCAGCACCGTCTTTCCATTCTTGATGCATCTCCCTTTCTCTCAATACCAGGCACACAGTATCTTAGGTGAGCACTGCTCTAAATGGTGGAGATACATAGCTGAGTAAGACAAGGTCTTTACTCATAATAGGGTGATTGTCCAGTAGGAGAAAGACAAAGGAATATCAAGGTCTGTGAGTGTGTAACTAAAGTATACAAAACATGCAGGGTGTGCTCAGAAGGGGGAATGATGACCTCCACTTGAGGAAGACTACTCTGGGAGGATGGATAGGGTGTGGAAAGCCAAAGAAGGAACAGTGGCTCATAGGGGCCACAAAGTATATAAGCTTTCGAGAACAGGCATAAAAGAAGAGATCCTAAGAAGTTAAATTCAGCGACAGCTGAGGCTGTGTCTGCACAGAGACTCCTACTGGGAGCTATATCCCTCAAGAGAAGAATAAAAAGTGAAAGGAGAGGTGGCTTATACTTAAATTGTAGAACTGGGTATACTATGAAGGGTGACTGGACCTCAAGGTACAGGTTAACAAAAGGGAAAGCATCTGAAGAAAGTAGGGAGACTAACCAACAAAAGAGGACAGCGCTAATAATCTAACCACCCCCAAACTATGCCATCAGTCTCTGGGCAGATTTCTGCACTCCCCACTGGACATGCTGCCAACAGCAGACCCTTCCACTTACATGCTAGTCTCAACCTAGCAACATTTCAAACCACACACACAGGAAGTGCCAAGCATGTGCCCTTTATATATGTTCAAGCTGGGTGAGAGAATTTTCCCCCTGCTAAAATACTACATTTCATAAATGTACATTTCATAATTTATACAAGACCCTTTATTTTTAATCACAGTCATAACCTCTGGAAAGTCAATAGTAAGAAACATTATGTCTTGGGATCATCCCATGTATTGTATGTAGCACAGTGGTCTGTGATCATCCATCTCCCTGGCTAGTCTGCGAACTCCTCAAGGGCAAGTACTAGCTCACAGTAGGCATTCAATTAAGAGCTGACAAACAAATGAATGAATTAACCCACCATAGTAGTTCTCTCCATAGTTGCAAGTGAGTATAACAGGAAGAAAACATACTGATTGCAACTATTTTTCATTCGAAAACAATAATGTGAAGGCTATTCAACTGACTTCTCACAAACACAAAATATGTGACCTTACATATGGGCATATAAAATCAAACACCAGAATCACAGAAAGGCAGTTTAAAGCTTAATCTCTCAATCACTCTCTGCCTTTCTGTAACTCCCTCCGCCCTCTCCTCCTCCCTCCTCCATGCTAGGGCTTGACCATAGGCCTTCTGCAAGCTAAGCCTGCATGCTACCCCTGAACTAATATCTTTAGCCCATTAAATAAAAATTTTAAATATTCTTAGAAATTTGCTGAATTCTCTGATAGTGCTAATTTATAGTATGTATACATACATGTATACACACACACACACACATATACATACTCCAGTTTGGAAAGAAAGACACAATGTAATCTAAAATATGGGGAAAAACTTCTGTAAAACTTCACGAACCTAGGTTAAACGCTCAGCTCCCTGAAATGTACAGTATAAATATACGGTGTTCTGACCAAAAACAGAAGAGAAATTTTTCTTTTAAAAAAAAAAAAGGCCATTATTGTTAAATCAAGGAATAAATAACTGGTGGCATCCACATCCAGTAGTCTGGACAGGTAGTCCTCAGGCCTGGGCTATGCAGAGAGCTTGAGAACAGCTGTGCTCAATTCCTCTTCCAAGCCACCACATTCTGAGGGCTCTCCAGCAGCTAGCTGGCCTCTGGTACCCAAATTAGAAAAACTGTGTGTGGTACAGAACAGAGTCGATCTATTTGAGAAGGATACAAAGATTTGTATAGAGAAATGCAAGCATACAGCAGACCAGATTGACAGCGAGCAAAGGAACTTCAAACAGCAGCCCCTCTTGCCCAATTGTGTGAGGTTATATGGGTATGAGGGAAAGAAGATGGGGTGAAAAGATGAAGAAAGCCCAGGCTAGGAATGTAGGGAACTTTCTGGAATCCACAAAGGGCTTGGCCTTTTATCCCCAGGCCTAGGCCCAAGCCTGGGGCCCGGATTTTGTCATGGGCGCCTCCCTGCTGCCCTGCCCTGCTGCACATGAGCAGAGAGAGACAGGAGGCAGGCCTCTGACACCTACTTAACCAGGGCAGATGGAGGGGAAGGCGTGTGGGATGCCTTTACCTCCCCCAGCAGGAGGCACCCAGCAGGAGCCCACAGAGCCAGCAGCTCCAAAATTGGATTTCCACACATCCTCCCACCCCAGAACTCCCCTTTCCCCTCTGGCAGAGGAAACAGTGCATTAAGCAAGTGTTGTTCTGGTGTGTGAAGGATCTCAGAAGACCTAAAGAAGCCTTCTCAAAGGGGTCTGCACTTTTCTCAGACCTTACCGAGGTAGCCAAGCTGGGAAGCATTATTCATTCATTGACCCAAAAGGGGCAAGGGTGTTACTTTGAGGAGGACACAACCCATGTCTGCAAGCCATCCCAAGTTACAGACACATACTTTATTAATAATCTTACATACACAAAATGTCCACAGAAAAGTCTAACAGGCTAATTTCTGACAGCTCCAGATAACAGCAGGAGGAACTGAAGCCATGCTGACTCTCCAGCTTCCCCACACTACACAGGAGCAATGGTCCTTTCCCACCCAAGAGCTGTGATACAAATAAATAAATACAATTATCTGCAGAACTTCAAGTGCAAGAGCAACACTGTGAAGTCCTTCTCCCCAAGTGCAGTGACTTGTGGGAAGCAGATAGGAAAATAAAGAGAACAGCTGGAAAATTTAATTACAGAAGAATAAGGCAAAAGCTGACATTGTTTTGCAGAACTAGCCAATACCCAAAGCCTTTCTCCCTTACCTTAAGATACAGAAGCAGCTCTTGGCTCCTGAAGATAAGCGGCAGAACCCAAATCTCTGCTTGCTGTCAATGTCAGTGAGCACGAATGTGAAGTTCTGGCCAACTTGGCTAACTGTGAGGCTGCAGCAAAGACAGAACAAAAGGAGAGATGAAGGGGCAGTAACTTTCTTGATAACGTGTCTAATCACAACAAGTCGTTGAACCTGTACCATTTCCTCCTTCAGTGGAACTCTTTATAATTGAGCTTAAAATTTACACATTTCAAGGGAACAGACTGAACTATTTAAAAAAGAAAAAGACAGCTACCAGTCTGTTCTAGTGTCCCCCAAAACTCAAAATCATCAGCACTTTGATGTCTTCCCCTTATTGAGTTCAGGCCTTGAGGTGGTTCAGTTTTCAGCCCATCAGTCCTGAAAAGTGCATTCTAGCCACTTGTTTTATAGATGAGGAGAGCTGAGGGAGGCTCTACCCAAGATCCCAGCTGGATTTTAAGCCATGCTCTGACTCCACTGACCATTCCACCAGCTTGCTGCTAACAATGATCACCTGAAGAGCCCTGCAGTTCAGAAACTAATGGTAACTGCAGCTGCAGAACTTGAACGTCTATTATGTGTCAGGCACAGCAAGACTCTTGAGATCCAGCCTCTTGCTTCCTCTCACAACCACCTGGGATTTCAGTGATGTTCCCATTTTACAGAAAAAGCCACTAAAGGACAGAATAGGTAGGGAACTGAATCAACTTCAGAAAGCTGCATTCAAAGTGGAATGAAAAGGGGACAAGGTTAGCTGACGCTTTCCTAAATTCTTATATCTTCAATAATTTCTGAATTTATAAGGAATATATTTCATACTTTAGAGGACAGAAGCACCAAAACGTTAAGCACTGCAAAATCCTAAGAAATAGAAATAATGCTTTAAGCATTTTTTAAAAGGTACAAATTCTTGCATCAATAAAAAATTAACTACACATAAAAATCAACATAAGGTAGAAAATATTTTAAAATATAGACAGTATTTGGCTAATCAGAGTAATCTAGAAACTTTTAAAAACTTACGAAGTGTTGAAAAATCCACAATTACTTTGCACCCTGTTCCTTTTTAGATCTCATTCTAAATCTAATGCATAAATGTACATCAAAATATTTTAGAATTTGACAACGAATTGTTCGAGTGGACTCATTAACTTGTACTGTACTTTATATATATTGAATTTTACAAAGTATAACTTCTAACTGATAAAATACTCAAACTGGTAAAATATTCAAATTGATGCTATCATTTACAATTTACTTTATAAACTGTCAATGAAAATGAAAAATCATGGCTTACCAGCCCTTTTCCAAAAGCAGAATTCTTATTGAATCTTTGTATGAATTAAGATTCATATTTAGGGTAGATTTTCTTTCTAAAACTCCCTTATATAAGAAAACTAAAATTAAAAGAATTTTCAAGGTATCCCACTACAAAGGTCAAGGACCCTGCCTAGTTATATTTAAGGAAACAATTCCATCCCCTGACAATGGTTAGGGAGTACAAGAAAATAATTTGAAAAGAAAATGTTCCACTGTCCTTACTTAACTAGGAAAGTGAACAAAAACAAGGTGGCAATTTAAAAGCAACGTGGTAATAAAGCAGGTGTAAGTAATGCTATCCCTCTACCTTACACAGTCAGGAGAAGGAACACATTTCTATAAAAGTTATAGAGCTGTCAAGGGGACACCAAACACTACCTTCTTATGGCTGTTATGTTTTATCTATAAAGCTTGGATACTGTGTTACTATGGTGATTTAATACTATGTTTTAAAGAGGGATTATATGATTAATTTTAACAAGGTAGAGAACTGAAGATGTGTGAGAAACAGGATTCTAGTTCACATAATTAAAGTGATTGGGGAGGAAAGTAGCCTCAATGGGGGAGGGAAAAACCTGTTTTATTAAAATATTTAAAGCAACAGGTCTGGATGAGTCTAAAATACAAATAACATTGTCCTTTTGTGAAATACTAGTATGTGATCATACCAAATATGGCTGTTCATTATTTTAATTCAGGGGTTGATTTCACTTCTAGAATGCTTAAAATGAATACTCTCTAAGAAGCATCCTAGATAAGAAAGGTATTGATAGAACTGGATGAAAGACAGGATTTCTAGGAAAAGGACACAAAATGAACAATACCTGACTTGTAACTGGGTGTCATTAATTTCCTACTATCTTTTCATTGCCATTAAAAATGCTGAAAAGGGCCGGGGATCTAGCTCAGTGGTTCTGTTGCCTGCCTTGCAAGGGCAAGGACCCCAGTTTGATCCCCAGTACCAAAAAAAAAAAAAAAATGCTGAAAAAGGGCCGGGGATTTAGCTCAGTGGTTCCAACACCTGCCTCCCAAACAAGGTCCCGAGTTTGATCCCTGGTACCAAAAAACAAAACAAAACAAAACAAAAAAACTGCTGAAAACTAACATCTAGCTACACTGTAGGCTCAAAATAAGATTCATTACTCATCTACTTGGTTCAAAGCCCAAGTCAATGGCTGCTAACTGGGCCTTATTTTACCAAGTTACTTAAAATCCACAAGGACCTGTTTCTTCACCTAGAATGACAATGAGAAACTACCACCCAAACCAGGATGTTTGGGGAGTCAATGGGTAAGTAATTAGTACTGTATTAAGCTTAGTTCTTACCAGGAACAATTAATAAAAGACAGTCAAAATGTCACCCATTGAATACAAACTAAAATTCATATTAAAATCATGCATTTGCGGGCCAGGGGTTTAGCTCAGTGGTTCCGGCACCTGCCTCACAAGAGCAAGGTCCTGAGTTTGATCCCCAGTACCAGAAAAAGAAAAAAGAAAATCATGCATTTGCATAGATCTTCCTATCTCAGCTTTAAATTACCTGTGAGTAAAAGTAGTAACTCTGTCTTGTTTCTCTCTTCTGTGATTTTTTTTTCAGTGAAGGTAATCTGGGCATCAAGTGATTCGTGTTTGCCAAGTAAAAGGTTCTTTATTGAGTGTGACAGTTTAGAAGGAGACAATTATTATTCTCAACTAACTTTTTTGGGGGGTACCGGGGATCGAACTCAGCTCCTGGTGCCTACACAGCAGGAGGCAAAACCACTGAGCTAAATCCCTGGCCCTCAACTGATTAACTTTTAACTCTTACCAGGATGAAATACAAGTCATCAAAGCCCCAAACCAGTTGAATCTAAAATAATTTTTCCTTGGACAATTTCCAATAAACAGTCTGTCGGAGAAGTCAAACAGAGGTTAACTTGAAGAGTTCTGAATCTCCAAGCAATCTATCAGTTTCTCTCCACTTGCTGAGGTAGTCTATGGGAATATTCAGTATTTTCTATAAAAATCACTAGGATAAGGATCTGTTTCTTTAAAGAATATGGTTTATATGTTTGCCTCCAGTATTACCACCTATAATTTCTATAAGAATCGGAGATTCTTAACTTGAACTGACAAAAGCCATTTATGACAAACCCACTGCCAACATCAAACTAAATGGGGAAAATTAAAAATATTCCCTCTAACATCAGATATAAGACAAGCCTGCACATAATCATTACTCCTGTACAATTTAGTACTTGAAACTTTAGCCAGGGCAATCAGGCAAGAGAAAAGAAATAAAAAGGACTTAAATAGGAAAGGAAGAAGTCCTCAAGTGGCATGCCTCAAGTTTATCATTCTTCATGGCAAATAATACTTCCTTGTGTATAAATACCACATTTTCCTTATCCATTCATCTGTTGATGGGCAGTTGTGCTGTTTCCAAGATCTGGCTATTATAAATTGTGCTGCTATAAACAAGGTCATGTGTAGGGCTGGGGATTTAGCTCAGTTGGTTTCGCCACCTGCTGCGCAAGCGCAAGGACCTGAGTTCAATCCCCGGTACCAAAAAAAACACAAGGGTATGTGTATATTCCTATAATATGATGATTTTAACTCTTTTGGGAAGATACCTAGAAAGGGGATATCTAGGTCAAATGGAGTTTCTATTTTTAGTTGTTTGAGGAATTTCCACACAAGTCAGACACACCAGCTTACATATCACATAATTTCTTTTGTATAAGAAACTCAATATATATAGATATATAGAAAGCAAAATAGAAAACAGAGAAATAGGAATTAGGGAGAAGTTCAAGTAATTCCCCAAATTACCTATTCCACTGTTTCAAAAATATTTTAACATATATGCTAATTTGCTTCATTTATACTACTAGTTTCTCTTAGTTCATTAAAAAAGTTTTGCGCTATTATGTTTCTTCTTTGTCAGATAATCTTTTATGTCTGTGTCTTATACTCTGAGTACAGCTACTTTGAAAATGATACATGGTTTATTAACTATTGCTATTCTCATTATTTTGTTACGTAATTGTTTTATTTTTTTCACAAAATAAGAAAAAAAAAGAAGTGAAACTATCCTTATTTGCAGATGATATGATCTTTTACATGTAAGATCAAAAAACCTCCACCAGAAGACTTTTAAAACTAATAAACCAATTCAGCCATGTAGCAGAATACAAAATAAACACAGAAATCAATAGTGTTTCCTGTACACTGACAATTAACCCATGAAAAAGTCAGGAAAACAATACCATTTGCAATAGCTTTTAAACAAATTAAATCTGGGAAATTAACCAAACAAAGGAAGTGAAAGATGTCTATAATGAAAACTAGTGCTCTGAAAAGGAGATTGAATAGGACATTAGAAAATGGAAAGACAGTCCCTGTTTTTAGATAGGCAGAACCAAAATGTCAAAACAGCCATATTATCAAAAATGACAGGCTGAGAATTTAGCTCAGTGGTGCTGCCACCTGCCTTGCAAGCACAAGGTCCCCAGTTCGATCCCCAGTACCAAAAAAAAAAAAAAAGATATACAGGTTTAATAAAATTTCAGTCAAAATAGCATCAGCATTTTTTATAAAACTAGAAAAAGCAATTCTAAAATTTATATGGAACTAGAAGAGACCCAAAATAGCAAGAAGAGCAAAACAGGAGGTATTAAAGTCCTGGTCATCAAGTTCTACCACAAACCTACAGTAATAAAACAGCATGGTTAGGCCGGGGATTTAGCTCAATGGTTCCAGTGCCTGCCTAGCAAGCGCAAGGTCCTG